GGGTCAGTGCGCTCCCATGGAGGAGTGCCGCTCAGCCACAAGCCAGGTTCACCACTGGTGAGCACAGTGGCAGTGGCGGGAGCCTCTCCTGCCTCCGCAGCTGCACTAAGGATGTCCGACTGCTGGCTTAGGCCCACTCCCCAGCAGTTGCACATCCCCCGAGGGCTCCCAGACTGTGAGAGGGTGCAGGCTGGGCTGAGGGACTCCCTCCCCCCCAAATGCACAAATTTCGTGCACCAGCCCTCTAGTAAGTATATAACTTCTTTGGTTTATCTCTTCTCACCCCGCACCCCCCCCCAAGGCCACATCAAGGTATGTCAGTCTGTTCCATGCCTTCAAGGCTTCGGGTCTTATTTTATTGGTAAATTTATTTTGTTTATTAGATTCCACAAATAAGTGAAATCATGTGATACTTGTCTTTCTCTGACTGGCTTATTTCACTTAGCATAATGCTCTCCAGGCCCCTCCATGCTGTCCCAAAGGGTAAGAGATCCCTCTCTTTTACAGTTGCGTAGTATTCCCTGGTGTAAATGCCCCACAGCATTTTTATCCTGTGTGTTAATAGTAGCCATTCTAATGCGTATAAGGTCTCATTGTAGTTTTGGTTTGTATTTCTCTGATCATTAGTGACCTGGGACATATTTTCTGTACTTATTGGTCATTCATATCTCTTCATTCATATGTCTTCTCTGGAGAAATGTCTACTCAGGTCCTGTGCCCACTTTTAAATCAGGTTGTTTGTTTGTTTGTTTTATTGTTGACTTTTAAGAGTTCTCCATATATTCTGGATGCAATCCCTTGTAGCCACAGCACTGAACTTTTCATATTTCCAAGGGTCAGAAAATTTGGTGATAAACAGTCAGGGCGAGTGTGGGGAAACAGGCCTCCTCCTGCAGCGCTGGGGGGAGGGTGACTAGGGCAGCCTCTTTAGAAGGCACGGCAGTGGCATCTGTCGGGAATTTAAATGTACATACCCTTTGACCCAGCAATTTCACTTTCAGGAATTTATTGTACAGGTTCACTTACTCATGAGGGAAAATATATGTACAAGAATGTTCACTGCAGCAGCATCACAAGCACATGAAATATATCATGCAGTGATGCAAATACCAGAATTCAAGGCTAAGTGTTAGCCTTGAATGGAGCAGAAATTCTCACATATTAGTAGTTGTGCTTTCTATATACACCTATTAAAGTAAGTTCCTGTAAAACCCTTAAGCATGCCTGTCTTAATGATTGGCTAACACTTACTGAACACTTCTGGCTCAGCACTGCTCTAAGCACACATCCTGAAGCAGGTGTTACGGACTGAGGAGCTGTGGTCTCTCACATCTGCTCCAGAGCCGATCTCTTCGCCAGAACCCTAACTGCTTTCCATGAAAGCATCTGCATGCAGGTGAAACCCATAGCGCAGAGTTGGCAGGGGTCTGCACACACGTCCGTTTGCCGTCTCGGAAACCAAGGCGCTCAGAGGCCCACCATCATAAACTGTCGGCTTAGGATGGAAGTTCTGAGATGAGGGTGCGTTGTTAGTGTTGGCTGAGTGGGGAACTTGATGAAGGCTTGGGTGCGGGTAGGCCGAGAGGGCAGGCAGCGTGCCTAAGGGAGAGCAGTGTGAGTGTCCCAGGCAGGAATGACCGGGCGCCTGCCGGAAGCGGAGATGCCTGCTGGGGGCGGGGGGGGGGCGCGTTTACACGAGCAGATCAGAGGCTGAGCAGAGGACAAGATTAGTGAGAGCCCTCCGGTTGCCTCCACCTGCTCGCTGGCCCATTATTTAAGCCATCATCAGTCGGAGGCTTTCCAAAAGCAAAGAGGGCGGTCATGGGGAAAGGCGGTCGCGCGCACTCTCCTCCCCGCGCGCCCTCCACGTCCCCGACGGGGAGCCGGGGAGGCCCTGGGTTCCTGACTGTCTGGCCCTGCCTT